GCAGCGAATGCGCCAAGCAGTATGTATAAACGCGCGGCTGAAAAACGATATTAAAATCTTGAATGTGCCGTATGATTTAATTATGTTTTAGGATTTACAAATGCTTTGTCGTTTGTATTTATACTTGTACTGCATCACAAGGCAGTACGTATAAGTGAAAAATTCACATGTGAGATTGTCTTGTATACATTTTTCAGTGCTTTCTTTGATAAACGTTATTAAACGCTTTTAAATTAAACACGCAAACTTTAATTAGTGAGACGCAATGTTAAATGTCACCTGCATGTCATTGTCATTGCCCTTTAACACCTGGTCTAATTGGCCGCTTTTGAAAATGTTGATCATGACGAACCGCACTACCAATTATGCAAACTTTGTGTTTTAAAAACGGGCTAGGATAAAACGCGGATACGGACGGATGGATGAATGACGAATGGACGGACGGATGGCGACGGACGGACCGGACGGATGACATATATATGTCATTATATAGTCTGCGCGCAGCCGCGCAGGGTAGTTAGTGGCTTACGTCTTCGCTGGTTGTTATACTTTAAAATAATTTTGTATATACCGAGAAATCAATATTCCGAGTATATAAATATATAAACTGGGATGTCACACTGATAGTTTGTTTACATTTCCTGGAGCATTCAATCTTATGTTTAACCACGGTGGTTTAACGCATTAGCTGGCAATGCGCCCTTCGACCTTCCCTTGTCCAGTGCCAGAAGATTTTACTCGTCAGTGGTACTGCCAGTAAATGGGTTAACAAACCTATCTGCCAATGGCTCTTGTTAATCTATCAGCACAATAATGACTTTAGTATTTACCCTGTCCAACGCCAGACGATTTTTAATGCTCAGTCAGTGGTAGAGTGCTGTCAATAAATGGGTTAACAAGGATAACAATAATAGGATGTTTCTGAAGGACTCGTTCAACACCCTGTAGTTTGTCTTTTGCTGTCAAAGGCAGCATTACTGCCCTGTGGGTAACCTAGTTATAGATACATAGCACGCACGCACTGTCAAGAATAGCATTTTAAACTATAAATTTCTCCGCTGCTATTCTATAGGATTTTTTCAAACTTTCATATCTTGTACAGAATTATCTCCTCTTTCCACTGGTTATTGAATATTGGGTGGCATCAATCCATAAACAATCGAAATTCGGCCTCATTCTGCACGGTATTAACTGTAAGACAATACTAATTATAGATATATATAGCGC